TGCATGTTTAATCAGTTTCAGATTGAAGAAGTTGGTAGAATTCTTCTATTTCATCCTCACTGGCTTTAGTGGTTGGTGCATAAATTTGAATAATACTGGTGTTAACTGGGCTTCCCTGTAGGCGCATGGATATTATCCTATCACAGACAGCGTTGTACCACATGACTGATCTGGATATGTTCTTTTTGACGATGAATTCAACACCATTCCTCTTCAATTTGTCATTCCCGGCATAGTAAACCATGTGGTCATCAGATTCAAAATGGCCAATACCAGTGCATTTCAGCTCACTAATGCCTAAGATATGGATATTTATGCATTCCATTTCATTTTTGACAACTTCCAATTTTCCCAGATTCATACTTCGTACATCCCATGTTCCAATTTTCAATGAATATTTACAGCTGTTTCTTTTCATTTTGAGTTGTGCCCCATCAACAAATGAAGGTCCCGCAGGCTTTTCTCTCACAGGATTTATTCCATTCACGTCATCACAGTCAACTCTACTTTGAGGAGGCAGCTCCTCCCCAGTCACATTTTGAGTGCCTTCCTACCTGAGGGGCTCATTTTCTGGCACTATATCTGACAGTGTTTCTCTGCTATTCATTAGATTTTCAGTGGCTAAATATTCAGAAGTAGTTCATCATTTCTTATTCCTAGTCTGTCTTTGTCTGGAAGCTACCACTTGTCTATCAGTTTGTCGTACTGTGGTGGGTTATGAGATGCTGTGATTCTGAAAGCTATGCCACTGGTATTTTAAATACCAGCAGGGTCACCCATGGTGGACAGGTTTCAGATGAGCTTCCAGACGAAGATAGACTAGGCAGAAGGAGTGACGAACATGTCTTTACTGAGCAGTTATTATGTGCCAGGCACTTTTCTAGGAGATGGTGATACAAAAAGATTCCATGGTGCCTGTAAAACTCTCTCAGAGCAGGTTTAGCAAATCACATTGAGGTAGCAATAAGCTATTTGGCAAGAGTTTTCAGAACCACCCTGTTCTCTTTTTCAATCCCATATTCCCACCTTTAGGACTGAGCCACCCTTACCCTGGACTTCATATTTTCAAGCTCTGCCCCCTGCTTTCCAGGGCAACCTCATACCCCTGGGCTTCAGATTTTGAGCTTCACCCTAAAGCAGCTCTTAGTGTTTGTTTGTGGGAATTGCCATGGCTGGCACCGTTCCCTGCCCATATGTTGCCTTTTCAGACCAAACTTGGCCTCTCATCACTGACCTGCTATATTCCAAATTCTACTTCTGCTATGATTCATTGCACCTGAATGGGTCACCCATGTAGTTGCTAAGTGGTTCTAGAGCAAGGGAAATGCTTGAATTAGTTTGGCAGTGTCCAGGTATTTCACATTTGCTTTCATTGTGATTCTGGGCTGAATTTAAGGGCTAATCAACATGTTTGGCAATACAAAGATGCAGTCTTGGCCTAGAGAAGGCTTAAGCCATCTGTTCTTTTAAACGATAGAAAGGATGAAACTGGATTAGTACAAGCCAGTGTCTTCGTTCTCTAATAATGCTATAGCAGAAACACCACACGGAGGTGGCTTTGATAAATAGGAATTTTTTTTTTTCTGTGTCTAATCCCTGCCCTGTGCTCAACCTTCTCCTCCCTCCCCTCACCCACCCCCAACA